ATTTTGGAAGAGCATCCTTTTGTACTTTTATGAATCTATTTAATTTGTTATCTGTATGCTGAAAAACGCAAATTTTATGTTGGTGTCTTTACAAATCGACGAAAATTTCTCTGACGTAGAATTAAATATGACAACAAACCACGATATATAATTATTAACCGTATTATCATTTGGGACAAAATTACTAAAAAATTTTTAAATATTTTAGACGACTATTGATCGTGTCGAAAACAAATTTTGCTGGATAGTCATTATTTAATAACTGTGACTAAATATTGAACTTAATATTGTTATAATGAAATTTTGGAATATCTGAGAGTAACATAGCTCTAACATACCCATTATGACACCATTATGACCTTTTTTATGAGAAATAAGATGACAATAAATAGTTTTGATACCATCCTGAGAATTGATTTGTGGTATCAATCTAATTCTAAAGAGTTATTGTTATTAATAATGGTTACATTTAAGAAATTAATACTATTGTTACATTTAAGAAATTAATTCTATTTCCAAGGTGAATTGCAATCTCAGATGAAACGAATTAAAAATTGTCAAAATAAATCAATCATATCGGGACTGCCGTCACGATATCATCAATATATAATTCCATGTTTAATAAATTAATAATGGTCTTGAGATACTTTGTGAGACTAAAATAGCTCAATATTATTTACTTTACAACATATTAACATACAGAACAAAATATCTTATTTCAATATATATTGGAGATCTTATGAAGTTAGGGGAAAACGTAAAAAATACAAAAATAATATACTTGCTGTAATATATTAGGTGTACAACTTTGCTTCCGCCGTTTTCCTATAGATGACTTTAACGGTAAGTGGTGGTCGAAATAAATAGATCATAGACGTCATACAATAAACTTGGGCATCTGTCAACATAACCCCATAGAAACATTAGTCGATTTGTGTCTGCATCATAAAGTTATTCTCGATTGAAAATGTCAGTTTACGAGCCAAATTCTCGTCATTTGCGGGAGGTTTTAATTTTTTGCTTCAATATGAAGAAATCTGCGGCTAAGGCTCATCGAATGCTCTCAAATACTTATGGTGAGGTCGCTATTAGTGAAAGAACGTGTCGTGAGTGATTTCAACGTTTCAAGAACGGTGATTTTGACGTCGAAGACCGGCATAGCGGTGGAAGTGAAAAGGTTTTCGAAGATGCAGAATTGGAGGCATTACTTGAGCAAGACTCGTGTCAAAATCAAGAAGAATTGGCACGATCATTGGGAGTGACTCAACAAGCATTTTAAAACGCCTCAAAGCCATGGGAATGATTCAGAAGCAAGGAAATTGGATGCCGTACGAATTGAAGCCGAGAGATGTTGAACGGCGTTTGTTTGCTTGTGAACAGCTGCTTGAAAGACAAAGACGGAAAGGATTTCTGCATCCCATTGTGACTGGGGACGAAAAATGGGTTCATTACGATAATCCCAAGCGCAGAAAATCATGGGGAGTTCCCGGCCATGCTTCCACGTCGACGGCCAAACCGAATATTCACGGCTCCAAGGTCATGCTCTGTATTTGGTGGGACCAGCTCGGCGTAGTGTATTATGAACTATTAAAATCGACTGAAACAATCACAGGCGATCGGTATCGAACGCAATTGATGCGTTTGAGCCGAACATTGAAAGACAAACGGCCGCAATACAACGAGAGATACGATAAAGTGATTTTGAAACATGACAATGCTCGACCCCATGTTGTGAAAGTGGTCAAGACATACTTGGAAATGTTGAAATGGGAAGTACCCCACCCGTCGTATTCTCCAGACGTTGCTCCCTCTGACTATCACTTGTTTCGATCAATGGCACACTGGCTAACCAGCACTTCCGATCTTATGAAGAAGTAAAAAATTGGATCGATTCGTGGATAACCTCAAAAGATGACCAGTTTTTTCGACGCGGGATTCGTACGCTACCCGAAAGATATGCTAATATATTTCAATCAAGATCAATATATTTTTCCATCAATTTTTGTAAATATACATACCATATATGTGTGTACATATTATTATATTATATATAGGATAAAATTGGGTATTATGAGCATTGCAGATAATATGAGCATCCCTTATATTTCAGCAATGACTGGTATTAGTAGCCTGTATTGTAAAAAGATGCATTTCTCTTCGCGACATTCTAATATGCTGCAAAATTTGAGTTAAATTTATGTACTTATGTGAATATTTGTTATTAGATGTACAACTTTGCTTCCGCCGTTTTTTTTCCGAAATTCGAGGCTTTATTGTAAAAAACTGGTTATACATTTATGATTTAAAGTATTGTCCATCGTTGGCTACTTTCTTCCATCTTTCGGGTAGCGTACGAATTCCGCGTCGAAAAAACTGGTCATCTGGAGAATACGGCGGGTGGGGTACTTCCCATTTCAACGTTTCCAAGTATGTCTTGACCACTTTCACAACATGGGGTCGAGCATTGTCATGTTGCAAAATCACTTTATCGTGTCTCTCGTTGTATTGCAGCCGTTTGTCTTTCAATGCTCGGCTCAAACGCATCAATTGCGTTCGATACCGATCGCCTGTGATTGTTTCAGTTCGGTTTTAACAGTTCATAATACACTACGCCGAGCTGGTCCCATCAAATACAGAGCATGACTTTGGACATCACCGTTCTTGAAGCGTTGAAACCACTCATTACACGTTCTTTCACTAATAGCGGCCTCATCATAAATATTTGAGAGCATTCGATGAGCCTCAGCCTCAGATTTCTTCATATTGAAGCAAAAAATTAAAACCTCCCGCAAATGACGAGAATTTAGCTCGTAAACTGACATTTTCAATCGAATAACTTTATGATGCTGACACAAATCGACTAATGTTTCTATGGGGTTATGTTGACAGATGCCCAAGTTTATTGTATGACGTCTATGATCTATTTATTTCGACTACCACTTACCGCTAAAGCCATCTATAGAAAAACGGCGGAAGCAAAGTTGTACACCTAATACAAAGAATGAAAATGATGATTGACTCGGTTTTCGAATATGCAATAGAAAAGTATTGCATGTAACGTCTTAAAGACATCATAAATTCATTTGACTGTACCCATTTGTGTATAATACAAAAAAGTAAATTATTTGAATGTTTATAAAAATTTTATAATTCGGCCTTTTATTCCACCCATCCTCTTAATTTTTTTCTAAATTATGATGCAGAAATATTACAACACGAAATATACATTTAGTGTGG